GTTGTCATGTTGGGGAGTAGGTAAAGGTAACTAAACTAAGTGTAGGCTATGAAATACTTGATCATCATTCATCAGTCTGGGTCGTTTTTTGTTGTCAAGTTAGCGAACTGGTAAAGATAGTAAAACCAAGTGTAGATTGTTGGATTTTGTCAGTGTGTAGAATTATGAAAGTAGTGTGCGTTTACATAGTGAACTTGCTCACCACATTTGCGTTGATTTTGCTACTTCATGGGGGAGGGTGTTGTAGCCAGGTTAGATTCTGTTTCAGTCCATCATTCCTATTCAGGCAATTTGGATTCCACTTGATATGAAGTGCTTCTGATATTAGACGTTCTTTGTGGTTTCTGAAGTTTTTCTGGATTATTTCAATATTGTCAAAATCAATTTTGTGGCCTGATTCTATAGCATGTAGACCTATGGCTGATGATTTTTGAAGTTTTTCCAGTTCAACTGGATTTCTTGGTGGTCGAAGAGAAGCTCTACGGTGTTCATTTCTTCTGATTTTGATTTCTCGAGATGTTTGTCCGATGTAGATCGCATCACATTCCGAGCATTTTATTTTGTAGACACAATTAGATAGAGAATCTTTCGGGATTTGGTCTTTTATATGGACAAGGTTGTTTTGAAGTGTGTCCGATGTTTTGAAGAAAACTCTAATGTCGAGTTGATTAAGTACTCTTCTGATATCGTCTGATGTCTCTGCTCTATATGGAATGACGACTGTTGAAGTCCATGTTTTCGGAATGCATTTTCGTCCATACTTAATGTCTGTGTTGATTTTGTTGATGAAGTTCGTTGGGTAGTTGTTTTGCTTGAGAGTTTTAGTGATGTTTGAAATTTCTTCTTCTTTTTCTTGCTCATCTGTTATCAGGGAGTGTGCTCGTCTGAGAAGACTTGAAACAACTGAAATCTTTGCGCTGATGGGGTGTGATGATTTGAAGTCTAAATACTTGTTGGAGTGGGTTTTCTTCCTGAATATGGATATACTAAAATGTCCGTTTTCCTTTCTCTTAACTAGGCAGTCTAGAAATGGAAGTTCATCGATGTCTGATTCTGCTTCCGAAGTGAACTGGATTTTGGGAGATACACAGTTTATTTTCTCCAGGAATGAATTGTGTAGATCCCGTTTTAGTACTACAAAAGTATCATCCACATATCTTAACCATATTTTAGGAGTGAGTATGCTTGAAAAGATATTATTTTCGAATTTATTCATGTAAAGATCGGCGACTATTGGGGAGACTGGTGAACCCATAGCAACACCATTTGTCTGTCTATATAAACTCCCTTTGAATGTAAAATAATTACTTTCCAGACAGAATTTTAGGCTCTTAATTATTTCACTTGTGTCCAGTGGACATCTTTGTGATAGCGTTGTATCTGATTCTAGTAGACTGGAAATGATGTCAAGACTTTCGGTAATAGGGATGCTAGTATATAGTGAGTTAATATCATAGCTTACCATAATGTCTTCTTTATCAATTTCTCGGTGTTCTATTTGGGATTTGAAATCATATGAATTTTTTACGATATTTTGAGTGTCCTTTTGTAGTGGTTGTAGTATCGAGAGTAAGTATTTAGAAAGGTTGTATGTTGGTGAGTTGGTGAAATCTATCACTGGTCTTAGTGGGACGAGAATCTCATTTTCATAATGTCACTAAAAGAAGACGTATACAGAAATTTTCGAAACTCAAAGAAAAGAAACAACCAAAGAAAACCTCAACAAATGATATGGGGAATATTAGAGCCATACATAACATGTCAGAGAAGATACTAACCGAAAATGAAATCTCATTACTACAGAAAGGTTTGAATTTCAATATAACTAGAAAGCCATTATCGGTCCAGGAAATAGCACCTATGATTGAACCTGCTCTACAACAACTCACCAATGAAGAATCACAATCTGCTCGTCAAAAGATATCACACATATTAATGACACAACGAAACATAACATCTAATCTCACCAAACAAGAATATGAAGCCTTAAGAAATTTGAAGAAAGACAAAAGCATCGTCATAACGAAAGCCGACAAGGGGAACGTCACTGTGATAATGAACAGAACGGATTATGAAAAGAAAGCGATTGAACACCTATCTGAAGGACCATACTTACTCATTGAAGAGAAGAAGAAATCCGCCGAATTCAACAAAATGAAACTAAATACAAACAGACTACTTCAAGAAATGAAACCCAAAATTGGAAATTCGCTCTGGTTTACACTAAAACCAAAATCTTATATACCTTCAAGATTCTACGGTCAACCAAAGATACATAAACCCACAGTTCCACTAAGACCAGTGATAGATTTCACCAACTCACCAACATACAACCTTTCTAAATACTTACTCTCGATACTACAACCACTACAAAAGGACACTCAAAATATTGTAAAAAATTCATATGATTTCAAATCCCAAATAGAACACCGAGAAATTGATAAAGAAGACATTATGGTAAGCTATGATATTAACTCACTATATACTAGCATCCCTATTACCGAAAGTCTTGACATCATTTCCAGTCTACTAGAATCAGATACAACGCTATCACAAAGATGTCCACTGGACACCAGTGAAATAATTAAGAGCCTAAAATTCTGTCTGGAAAGTAATTATTTTACATTCAAAGGGAGTTTATATAGACAGACAAATGGTGTTGCTATGGGTTCACCAGTCTCCCCAATAGTCGCCGATCTTTACATGAATAAATTCGAAAATAATATCTTTTCAAGCATACTCACTCCTAAAATATGGTTAAGATATGTGGATGATACTTTTGTAGTACTAAAACGGGATCTACACAATTCATTCCTGGAGAAAATAAACTGTGTATCTCCCAAAATCCAGTTCACTTCGGAAGCAGAATCAGACATCGGTGAACTTCCATTTCTAGACTGCCTAGTTAAGAGAAAGGAAAACGGACATTTTAGTATATCCATATTCAGGAAGAAAACCCACTCCAACAAATATTTAGACTTCAAATCATCACACCCCATCAGCGCAAAGATTTCAGTTGTTTCAAGTCTTCTTAGACGAGCACACTCCCTGATAACAGATGAGCAAGAAAAAGAAGAAGAAATTTCAAACATCACTAAAACTCTCAAGCAAAACAACTACCCAACGAACTTCATCAACAAAATCAACACAGACATTAAGTATGGCCGAAAATGCATTCCGAAAACATGGACTTCAACAGTCGTCATTCCATATAGAGCAGAGACATCAGACGATATCAGAAGAGTACTTAATCAACTCGACATTAGAGTTTTCTTCAAAACATCGGACACACTTCAAAACAACCTTGTCCATATAAAAGACCAAATCCCGAAAGATTCTCTATCTAATTGTGTCTACAAAATAAAATGCTCGGAATGTGATGCGATCTACATCGGACAAACATCTCGAGAAATCAAAATCAGAAGAAATGAACACCGTAGAGCTTCTCTTCGACCACCAAGAAATCCAGTTGAACTGGAAAAACTTCAAAAATCATCAGCCATAGGTCTACATGCTATAGAATCAGGCCACAAAATTGATTTTGACAATATTGAAATAATCCAGAAAAACTTCAGAAACCACAAAGAACGTCTAATATCAGAAGCACTTCATATCAAGTGGAATCCAAATTGCCTGAATAGGAATGATGGACTGAAACAGAATCTAACCTGGCTACAACACCCTCCCCCATGAAGTAGCAAAATCAACGCAAATGTGGTGAGCAAGTTCACTATGTAAACGCACACTACTTTCATAATTCTACACACTGACAAAATCCAACAATCTACACTTGGTTTTACTATCTTTACCAGTTCGCTAACTTGACAACAAAAAACGACCCAGACTGATGAATGATGATCAAGTATTTCACAGCCTACACTTAGTTTAGTTACCTTTACCTACTCCCCAACATGACAACCAAAATGACCTCATACTGACGAACGATAATCAAGTATTTCACATTCTACACTTAGTTTGGTTACCTTTACCTATTCTCGAACTTGACAACCAAAAATGACCCCAGACTAACGAACGATGATCAAGTTAGTAAACTTTATTTTGATATAATAACAGATATACTATTAACTTTGATATTTGGTTTGAACGATCTTCATTGTTATTTTGACTTTCAATATGTCCTTTTAAGTTGAACTAAGTCTATATTTTTCTCACCCCCTAATTCTTTGTTATATATATGCTGAGATTTTGTAAATTCCGGTTTAATAATACTTTGAGAAAGCTATTAGCATTAAATAGCGAAACGTCAGTAAAAACAATCTCGTTTTGTTTTTTCATTCATTGGGAAATACAAAAAACCTCTATTAAAGTGAATATCATATACCCAATGCCCAAATTTTTTCAAACCGTTAAAAGTGAACTTGGTTTGGATATATATAATCACACTGATCTCCCCTATTCGACAGTCGACGAATGTCAGCAGTCTAGACAATTAATATTCATCTGATAATCTCCCAGGTGGTATGGAGCTATAGTCTTCTCTATCGGCTTCCAACCGATTCCATCCCACGCACCAAGGCCTGGGCAGCCCTTGGAAGTGTTAGCTAGTCCTGACATAATAGGTGTAACTCATTGTCAATTTCACGAAGGACTCGTTCCCATGGACAGAGTAAACAATTAATAGATAAGTCTAAAGCGTGTCTGTCGAGAGAGACAGTGTGCGTGTGTGTGAAAACAACACAATACAGCCGTCTAAAAAAACTAAAGTTCGATTTTCCCTCCATCCAGTTCATTTGAGAACTTAATAAAGCTAAAATAAAACATCATTATGGGTGTTCCAGTAAACAGAGTAAGTAGAAAAAGAAAAAACAAAATCAATATTTCTCAGTTTCTAAATAAAAAAGCAGCCGAACGAGCAAAACAACAAGCAACAAGCTCTTTACCACATGACCAACACACCTTGATCAATGATAATAACAAATAATAATAATAATATTCGTCTTCTTTTCATTATGTTTCGCATTCAATAAAAAATAACTTACATTTAATATTATAAATTAGGCAGTAGATAGCCAGTATTATATGAAGTATTACAAAGATTGTAAATGTCCAATTAGTTGCATATGTGAACCATCTATAACCGACATTATCGAAATATTTGGTTGTCTCCCTTGTTATATCCCATATAAGCCAAACGAAAAGAATAATTGCTAATAATACACGATAGATAGTGAAGTATTTCGGTGCAAACCATTCCCACTGAAATTCAAAAAAAACAAGAAAGAGGGAGGCAGAAAAACAAAAGCGTTATATCACTTTTAGCAGTATGACAATCGAAAAAGAAGCTGAAAAGCAAGGTGTTACGTAATCATTGCGACATAATTTAAAAGTATTCTTAGAAGATGGTTACGGAACTTTGGCTTCAAAAAAGGTACTCTTATTGTCCAAGGAACTCAGTTTCCCACAAAAGCGAACATTTACTTTAACTGAACATCAAGTAGATAGTGCCATGCGTCTAGCCCTTTGTTTGGTGTAGACTGAATTCTATCAGTTAAATTTGCAATTTGGAATGACAATAAAGGACTAGACTTATGGTGACAGTTATGTAGTTTTCAATCAGTATATCTGATAGATTTCTACGGGAGGCCAATCGCGAGACCGAACAGCTCAATAGTAACAACTGTGACTACAGGCACGAGTTCAAATGTCACAGATGACATTGTGCTGACTGTTGAGTGCTAACAAGCACAAAACCGAAGTTCAAGACTTCCTGAGGATTGCCTCCAACCATATAATAAAAAAAAACATTTTTACAACTTAAGTTATGTTGTGAAATACATTTTGAATATTTTCACAAGTTAATAATAGACTAATTGATAAAATCATTTTTTCTTTGTCTGGTAGTGGCTAGCAGTGGAACCCAAGATGTACACACCGCCCTACTTGGGACTTGTCAGCCTCATCGAATGATGATGGTGTTTCCACTGAGACTCAGTGGTCTAGACGACAATGCGCTAGTATTGAAAACAATTGGTGTTTTGTTCAAGTCTCAGTAGGAACACCACTATTCATTCACTGGAGTACAGGCACAACCAGCTAACGAGTGATCCGAAATAGGATGAAATGCGTATCCTGGATTTCACTGCTAACCACTATGAAATGATCAGTATCACGATAACCTTCAGATACTGTCTAGGTGTCAGTACTAGAAGCGGATATGTGAGAAGGGTGAGTTTACGATTGAGTTCATATGTACTTCAATTTAAATCGGATCAATCCAAAAACAACAAGACTTTAAGACTTCTTTATAGGACATTAAATAGGGAGGGAAATATCATCAGTCGATACATATGAACATTTTGCAAATGATAATAAAATCTGTAATTATTGCATTCAACTATAAGTAGCACTAATGAGCACGTCAAAACTGGGATCAAGAAATTAAGGTAGGTGTTCATTACACTGAGATCAATTCGGAGATCTACAGCATTTAGTATAAAGAAAAAGACCCAAATTTTCGTTAATGGTGTCAAGCCTAGAATTGTACATTTTTTAGAGGAACCAGAATGAAAAGCGACTAGATGGACGTGAGTAACATGGAGGAGATATATGAAGAGGAAATGAAAGCTTGGTGTCAGTCTTGCAGGCAACCCAAAAACATAGTAGAGAACTTAGTTAGATAAATGTGTTCCGCAGAAATTTTATATTCTTCTCGGAATACAAGGAACAAGCGCTGACAGTAATAATATCATTACTTATGATTCGCTAGTTAAGCCTTACTCAAATGATGATTTAGTTTTTCAGAATACAGAAATCATCGTAGGTTAAGCATAATTTACTTTTAATTGCAGATGCACCAAAGACGACTCCTACAATTGCACCGAAAGCTCTTGAATGCAACGCTTAAACGTAGACAGTCAAGAAAGATACTAGAATGTCAATAATCAATCGTCGATATATCATACTCTGTCACATCTTGAAGTAAGTTTAGTATGGAACTGCTTTACAGACGTAATTTGCGCCAGTACCAGCCTGAAGGTATTATTACTGGTAATCACTTGTACTCTGCTCTATGAAATGGACAGTCAGTCATCATTAACCTTTTAAAATTGCTCAAATTCAATGTAACAGTGGTAAGTGGTGAGTTAAAACAATCCCTTCCGTCTAGTATTCAAAAAGGTTAATTTTAACTTCGTTAGCAATAGGATTGAAATAAAGTTGGTAAGTTGAGTGAACTGTGGAACTCACTTACAATTTATTGACACAAATATTACACCAGAAGTAAAAATACACAACCTTGTCCTGTCAGTGATTGATCACAACTGTCACAGATTGACAGTAAAGTGTACAACAGAAAAGTTAATAATTTCCTAATAATTTAAATCATTCCATGCATATTTTTATAACCATCCATTACAACACATCAGCATTTACAGACATAACATACAAAAACAAATTCTGAGGAAAAACGCTGAATTATCTCAATACTACTCAATAGATACAAGATTTTATCGTAGTAGTGGAAATGCTGTTTGAAACAGACAGTTACTGAGGAAAAGAAAAGTGTCATTCAACATCAGAAAAATTCTGTTTAATCCTAATCTCAATTCACAAACAAAGGGCAAGTCAAGTAGAAATAAAAAGCAGTTACCTGAAACATGCGTTGGTGGTACAGCGGTCGAATGCTCGCCAACCATGCATATAGTCACGGGTTCGACCCCGGCCGACGAACTCCTTTACCTAGCTAAGCCAGTAATAAGACTAAATAAACAACATTTTGGCATCAAATGTTGATTTCATACCCCAGTTTGACAACGACCCATAGCTGATTGAGATACCTGTACTGTTAGTGAAAATTTATGACTATGAATAAAATGCAATGACTGGAGTACTCTAAATTGCAAAGTCAATACACAGGGCAAATAACAGTTAGTGTTTCAGTTTCGAATTCTTCGTACTCCTCTTCTCTAAGGAAAACACACCTTATCATCTACTCTGTTCCATCAAAGATTATATTAAAAAGTCTCAACTTTTTCAATAAGCTCAAGTTATTTTGTTGTATTTTTTTCTTTATATGGTAGTATAATGACGGTGCAATAACGCACAACGTACTTTTTGTCATCTGCTGTGTGAGATCACAGCTGATATGCCTGTTGTTGAAGAGATAACGATGAATTTGTAAACAATGATAATCTGGCGACATTTCTATATGATAAAAGTTAAGCACGGGTTTGGAAATTTGTAAGAACTATACAAACAACTGATGCTTTTCCAGATTAATGATGCTCACAAAGAACTTTGAAGCCTAATTCTGTATATGTTACACTGTATCGCAACAGGAGCCATAATGAGGTTTTGTAGAAAGCAAAACATCAACATAACAGCCAAGGCCGAAACTTTAGTATTTCAGTTTCTGAAACTATTTCAACTGAAGTGACGCTTAACCAACTTTATGTTTTTAAAAGACTGATTAGTGATCAAAGAATATTATTTTCAATAAATTTGTCGTTAGGGTCTACATTTCCATAACCATAATAGCTAGAGAATTATTGTTAAAAGTATCAACAGTTCTATATTAGATCACCTCTTTCAAACAAGCCACAAAGCCAGTATTGAAAAATCTCTCTTCTGTCATCTATCAAGTACCAGATAAACTTTCAAAGGCCTCTAGGTATCGAATAATCCAAATACTATAGGCCATTTCAACTCGCTTAAAACAACACCAGTGCTGTGAGTCGAAAAGAAACAGGTCCAGCCACTATTGCTACCCTGGCCTGATACAGAACCTATGGATTCATAGATCTTGTGTTACATCCTTTAATTTATCTGATATTCAATTTAGTGTTATGTTAATGCATATTATCTCTTACTGAAGTTTTTGAAATGCAACATATGTAGAGATGGTTCTACTTTAACAGCGTGAGATTACTAGCCTCACACATATACTTCGCTGTTTTCCAGGCTTTGCTACAGGATAGCAAACTGGTTGAGGTTTAGGAGTGTATCAACCGCTAGTTCTTATGCTTACTAGTTTCACCAAGAACCAATACCCTCTGAAGATCACTGGAGACCAAAAAGCACTAGACAGCTCTTCTATCCTAGTCTTGGACTCTTCAACAGTCCTCATCACAGACTCCGCAAGAGGTTGAACACACCAGCTTCAGATTACTAGGCTAAGCTTATCTACCATTCAGTCATTTGGGCTGGAAGTCAACGACGCATGGATTCGAACTTCTGTTAATTGGTGATACAGGGCTGTCACCAACCGGTGCCTTCGATGAGCGTTCATTTCACCTTGACATGTCACGTGTTATGGAACTCTCACCCAATCGGTTAAATGATTAGCGAGCTTCGTCTTGTAATCCTAAGACAAAATCTACATCGAAATTAATCCGAATTCATACGAAATTGTAATATTAGCCGTTGATTAGCAAAACATCTAGTTTAAGATTCGCATATGAAAACAGCTGTTAATCTAGCGTAAGATATTTAAGTAGTACGCCTAATTACTATTCACATCAGAGTATCAATTAATAATAGACTATTAGGCATAAGTGTTACTCCAAAAACAAAATTTGTGTAAAAGTAGAATCATAAAACTAATCGATTAATTAAGTGAAGATTTAATTGATCGCAGAACAAATCTTAACACTAATTTCTTTCATCTAAAGAAACAGTGAAAAATAATAATAATCGCTGTATTGGTTAGTTAGGAACTGACTACCTACCAGTGCGTGTACATCATAAATAACGGAATAATCCTACTACCGTAAGATTACAAAACGAATAGTGAGGTTATTAAAATAAGTGCAAGTATTAGGGAAATATAAACCGTTAGGTTAACAGCCTCGTCACCTATTCTGACACCTTAAGATGAAACCATTAGCCAACACCCTCTAGTTTTCAGAATTGCTTTAGATGAAATTGGTCTATGGTGGAGTCTGTGTTAAAACGAAGTTGAGTAATGTTTACTCCACGTTGACATTTCGTCGAATATAAACAAAAGATTAGGTTCGTTATATTGTATCAAGAGGCTAAAGTTTCATATTCTAAAAGATGTGATTTATCCTTTGTCACTATCTTCAAATCAAGATTCCTCATTTTTTGTTCATCATTTTACTTTATCAGACTGGTTTTCCTGCGTTTTATAATATCTAATACCTAAGCTTCACCTCTTCAACTGGTGCAATTCACATTTGGTATATTCCTACCTTAGAAGTATGTTATCAAAGCCTCAAAGTATGCTCTGTGCAACAAGATAACGTAGTATAATCACAAAAAGTAATACACTTATGATAAGGAGAAATTATCAAATCGCCTATTGACATACGCATGTCAATAAGTGGCACTATTCTCTATACAATTTTTAAACTGTTTTACCCTAATTTAGACATAACATAAACTACCTAATAACTCTGTCAACTTCTTTATAGAATTCTATTCAAACGAAAACTAACAATCTGCCACATAAAACTATTCCCTTGAGTTTATGGTGAAACATAGACCTTCAGAAGCACCTCACCATTTCTCTGTAATCTCTTTTCGCTGACTCTTTAACTGCTCATAAGCTTTCATTCCCTCCATAAAAGATCTCCATATCACCACTGGTCTTCTTATACCTTGGTTTACTTTCAGATCAAGCTTCGCCACAGAATGACTTCAGATAGACCAGTTCTGAAAACTAAAGGGTACTGAATGGCGACTTCATCTTAGTCTGAGAATCTCGAGAAGTTGCTATCAGTCTAGGACTGTCAGACAACTTGACGCACCAAATCCCTTAACCACATACAGTCAGTGCCTTAAAGTTAGTGCTGAAAATTTGGATAGTGTTCCTTCTACCGAGGGTTGTAGATTTCCACACTCATCCGACAGTAATAAATACCCGCCTTTTTTTCCCATCCTATCTCTACTTGAGAGCAAGTTCATCCCGATGGATTGAATATACATACTAAATCAGCTGATAGGCTCCACCAAAGAAACAGCTGTGAGTTCTTAACCTTGCTGATATCGAGGCATCTGGTTAGGCAGTCACATACCAAGATGAGGTCGATCTGTTTGGTCAGATATATCAGTGGCAAAATAACCGGAAGGAAAAGATTGTCTTTATGCTTTAAAATGTGTAATTCCAAGTAATTATGTTGAAGCAGCTGTGGTATACACAACATTAAGTTCAGGAAAACCTGGTTCCACTTTTTTAAACAGTGTGATTATTCTAAATAATTATCGATTTAAACTCTTGAAAAGAATCCGATTGTTCGAAATTTACAATGTCAATTCAGAGATTTTATGCTTTTTTACTCCTTTAAAATGCTGTTGGTGGACCTTAGTTGTCACTCTTAACTGGATGAAACATTTGGGCAAGTAATCTTTATATGAAATGTCTTTTGAAGGGAATAAATAGGTAGCTAGACTACGAAGTTACACCATACTAGAAGTAAACTAATAAGTAAGACTACTTAGTCTTCTTTATCGTCTTAGGATACTATTTTTGTTAATATGTCATGCATATAGCTGCAAATATAGATGTTGACTACAAGTGGAAAGAAATCCTTTATGGTCACAGGAATGCAGGTAGCAGCTTCCGCAATACTGATTCAACCCTCTGGTAGATAAAATATAAGATTTGCATGATGATTACTTCACTTCAATGATTAGGCCTTATTGTCACCTCTCATATATAAATAAGAGATTTATAATAGTCAGTTCTTTATCACTATACTGTACTTAGTTTACCGGACTAAGCGAAACTACTTTAGAAAGTTCAGCTAGAAATACATTAATAAAGTTCATCAATTCGACATATTTCAAAGCACAGCGTTTAGGTATGTTTAAGACATGGTAACATTAATTTTCCTCTAAACTTCTGACTCTATACACACAACTTTATGGAGTTCATTGACTTCCACGGTTTCAGTCAGGTTGAAGACTTTCATCAGTAGCTGCCAGAAAGGAACCATGAATCTATCGGATTGGACACACTCCAAGGAAACCGCCGAGTGACACCAAGCATCAGGTAGGCCCCCGATTGTAACCCAAGTCGGAAGCAACGAGTTGGATGTGTGAGGATAAAATGGTGATATTGTGAGAAGGAAATGAAAGTTTATGGTGAGTTGTGAAACTATCTTAAGGGGACTGCAGAAAACAGAGTGAAACTGGGATTTGCTTCTAAAGCCTAATCTTCTACTTGTAACCCAAGGAAGTAATAACAATAATAATAATAAAGCAGTTATCATTATTAGAAATCTCCTTTTCTTACACTAATTAAATATCAGTTTAAGAAGAAACTTTAAATTGTAAATGAATTACTTATTAATGGAATATCTTCTTCCCAGACGTCATAGAATTTACACAAAATTGAAGGAAAAAAAGTTTGCACCTACTTGAGATCTAACAAAATCCACTGGCCTTGGATGATTGAATAACAATCCAGAACAGGATGATTCAACTTTTCTAAACTGCCATAATTCAGGGAATGGTTCCAATTTCCAATTAAGTTTTTTATTCTTCAAGTAATCCATTAGATAAGTATTCAATGATTTCAATAAATGAAAACTACAGCCAGTATTTTAATCATTTGTTTTAATTTTCTTTTTGGATCAGGTATGTGAATGAATCTTCTTTCACCGAAAGGAAAAGCATAGTAATAATAATTAATGCGGGCTATTGTTATAAATTAAAGGAAAATTAAAACAACGCGTGACATATCCTTAATTTAAAACAATACGATCAGTTGAACATGAATCTTTTTTTTTTCTGCTGCTGCTACCAGTGTAACAGCAGAAGGCAAGACACAAAAGCCAAGGTATACTTTTTGGGGTGATTGAACCGCTATTTATACATATACAGGTTTTATATGCTTTAACCAATCGCAGAGTGTGTGATTTTGGTTTAAACTAAACAACATAAAATAGAATGTTATATATATTTTTCTGTTGCTAATACAGTATTGAACTGTGAGAATAATATTCCATTAGAACTCATTGTTTGTTTCACACCACTACACCAGTGTAATCTGTTTTTATTTCTGTCTCTTCAACTGATAATTTCCCATGCAATTTAAACATGAGAAAGCAAGTATTGAATAATTACCACCTCAAGTAGTACATAAACACCACACTATTATATGTCTAGATTTATTCATGTTAGTTTCAAAATACCCCTGATTTCTCTTACGAAACTTATTTCATGTATACAACGATGTACAATGAATATGTAATGTGAAGAAAACTGATTGGTTAATTTCTTGCTTATGATCAGAGAAATAAATATTCTCTAATCAATCGATAAGTGATATTCTGTCCCATTCATCTTGTCTACTGTCTAATCTATCCACAGTCTGTGCATCTGTATTTAAAATATAAAGACCACCAGATAAACAGAAAAAGACAAAATATCGATCGATGCAATTTAATTCAGAAGCTGTTAACTTTCTACCCCTTTCCTCTTTTATCTGCCCTTCCTAGTTATGCTATCCCCTGTTATCAAAGGTATTATTGTATTGCAGTGTTAAGTGAACACAAGAGATCGAGTATAAAAAATTTACGTAGGCGTTCTCAAATATTTCTACAATTCAGACAGTTATTTACCAGTGTTGCTAAACCAATGATATGGACGGAGACTAACTCAAAGAGTTGTGAGGCAACGGTTTTCATGTATATGAATATAGTGTGCAGAAATATACAAAACAATAAATAATTGGTTATACCACTGTTTATGATTAGTTCAAATATTCTGAATACATATGTTATAAGCAGATCTTTGAAGGTACTTCTTGAATGATATACAATGCTACGTGAATCAGACTGGAAAATTCCTGACTAAAAGAAAACGCAGATAAATTCATTTCACTGTATTCAGATATGCCAGTAAGACTAATGTTCACTCATTTGTCAGTTGACACCTGTAGACAGTCAATGTATCTCACATACTATTCAAAGTTTCAATATTTCATCGCAATATTAAATAATTTGCCGTTTAAACAAAGAGTAATCATTTAATTGGTGGATGGCGACTAGCAGTGGAATCCAGGATGCGCATTTCGTCCTATTTGGGACTCGTCACTTGGATGTACCTGCATTTCTCAGTGAGTGATGATGTTCCCACCGAGGCTCGAACCCAATCCCCTTAGTTCCAAACGCCGAAGCGTTATCCCCTAGACCACTTGGGCCACGAGAGCCACCTCTTGTGCAACGGGTCATATTAATTATTGAATTGAATTTTTGATTTTCCCGTCGATTGATTGGATCGAAGTGCTCGGCCTCAGGTTGACATGTCGGCCTTTTGTGCAGATGCTTCGACGATGTATGGGCACTTAGTTAGCATTAAATTGGTGGATGGTGACTAGCAGTGGAATGTTCCCATCGAGGCTCGATGGGAACATCATCACTCACTGAGAAATGCAGGTACATCCAGCTGACGAGTCCCAAATAGGACGAAATGCTCATCCTGGATTCCACTGCTAGCCACCATCCACCAATTGTATACAAATCAAATCCCCAGACATCGTCGAAGCATCTGCACAAGAAGCCGACATGTCAACCTGAGACCGAGCACTTCGGTCCAATCAATCGACGGGAAAATCCAAAATTCAATTGAAGAGTAATAATTTAGAGCTTAGAGATGCGTGCATTACCAGGAGTCTCTTGAAATTACTGCTATCTAGTATCCTAATCAGACAAGTACAGGTTATATTCTACAGTAAAAAAGGAGGAGGTAGGATAGATATTAATGACACTGTCAAGTTACAAATATCCTATAGAGTACTTTCTTCGACCAGTTTTATAGTTCGGTAATAAAGCCAGATAATACATCCCAGTATGCGTTTAGCTTGGAAAAGAGAAAATGCTAACATTAGGGAAGAATAATGTGGATCCACTCTATTTCATAGTCTCTCTTCAGCTGCTTACAGTACATAACAGTTAGAGCAGCAGGTTATCATGCGGTTTTGGCATTCTTTTGCATGAAAAAGAGAAGAGGTTCAGCGAAGAGACTCTTTTCGACGGCGAATTCATTCACATAGCTAGCTGTACAATCACATTTATATATAATTATTTGTATGTATGTGTGTACATGAGGTTTGTCAGGTTTAGATAATTGATCAGGCAATAAAAGATCACAAAAGCCGCCCATGCTTAGCGTCCCGAAAAAACTACTCTACATAAACCTTCAATTCAATGGAGATATAACTGCGGAAATACTAAAAACTCGACTGTCGCGCTCACTCAAGAAGACCTTCTTTGCAGCTGAACTACGACTAACTTTCTCCACAAAACCTATGATTCATGTGAACGTGAAGGACAAGCTACCACTGCTGGTCTCATCAATGTGTATTTATCGATTCACGTGCTCGTGTGGGGCCAGGTATGTTGGCCGTACCCAAGCGTATCACCGGACACTTACCAACATGGTTTTACAAAGGAGAAAAACGATATCCCCGCAGCTCCATCTTAGAACATCTGATAGAATCCGGACATCAAGCTTCAAAGTCGTCTACAGAGTAAGAAGTAGTCTTCATACAGGTGTACGAATCAGACTTTTTCAAACTGCAGAAGCAACGGCGATTCACTTGCTAAGCCTTGAACTCTGCATACAGAAGAAGTTCGTTCAATCACTACACTTGCAATGGACTTAATCTATCTTATTACCCAACAAGTAAATTCAACCTAATCTTTTTTTTCTGTCTCTTCATTAGTATTATTTTGTCTTCTCAATTGTAATATTTTGCATTTTCAACTTTCTTGTTCTCTACCCCACCCGATTTAATTTCTTCACCTCACTCCCACTGTTACTGGCTTGATCACAGCTCAATTTCTAGTCATTTATGTTACGTCATCCAACTTATTTGCTCAATTTCAGTTCTAATTTAACTGACATTATTATCTACCCCACTTCTACTTAGTCTCTACCTGTAATTACCTCTGTTGCTACCCTGACCTAAGTTGAAACATTTCAGTCAATTATATTACGTCATCTAACTCACTAACTCAATCTTACTTCAGTTGCTGTCTAATTAACCTTGTTTCTATATTACATCATTCTTGTATTACCTGATCAATTATCTAAATTTGGCAAAGCTCATGTACACAACACACACAAACAATTATATATAAATGCGACTGTACAGCTAGCTATGTGAATGAATTCGCCATTGAAAAGAGTCTCTTCGCTGAACGTCTTCTCTTTTTCACATGACCCAATGGGGATTTTCAAGCTATTCTTTTGTATATCAATAAGAAAAATTCCTCCAGTAAGGACTATTGTAACAACTTAGTAGTGAAATCAGACATAAAGATGATAAGTTGTCTTAGGTTCAACTGACTTCATATAAGATATACCTGGAAGAAGATATATACCTTTGGCCTGGAAGAAGAAATAGGAGGATTCAGTGTAGAAATAGTTACCCTACACCAGAAAATTAACCTGATCGCTACAGAAACTTCAAAGTGCAAGAGAGTTACGCAAAATTAACTTATTCCTTTCGTGGAATTGGATAGATTTTTTTTATTATTTTTGATTACAGCTTGATTCCACACCGTATTTTTGGTACAAGTATGGAATTTTCAGCATGGATATCGGTAGCCCAAATTTCGCAGGCCTACCATAGATATCAGGTGTGCGTCGGCGTGGGCTCGAACCCCGGACCATATGCATGGTCGGTGAGAGTCCTAACCACTGTGCCACCGACGCACGTGAGATGGCAAAAGACTTCCACATGTCTTATTTCACTTTAATACTTTTACAATATTTTTTACACGACGACTGATTCCTACTGATCAAGAAAACTATTAGAGAATACAGTTTAAGCGGGCATGTATTATCAGTCTGTCTTCATCAGGTTTTAAAACTGTGTCATAAAAGAAATTAATAATAGATACGTGAAATGAATGTAAATAAAAGGATATAAGTTCAAACGTGTGAACTCGTCGATAACAATCATGGTGATTCACGCAATCTAGGCAGCCAGTCATTGTGAATTTGTAAGCAGAACGTGTATATTTGAAGAGGGCAGAAAGAGAGAAAATAATTATTGTCTCATAGCGACAAGATAATAGTGTTTCGTTTTTTAATGAATTGTGAAACTAGGATTAGAATATGCAATGATAATACAATATGATAGTGAAAATAAAGCTAAGAATAGTAGTACAAATAAGTACAAATAATATTTACAGTTTTATGCGATGTCACAGGGATAGCAAACTACCTTAAGTTGGGGTTGAGGGCAATGGAAGGCAGAAAGATTGGACAAAGATTTTCCCAACACATAGATTGAGGTGAAAATTTTTATACTAACTGCTTTAGCTTTGCTTTCTTTGTAGCTGAAGGTGTACAAACCTGATGAACTGAGATGGCATCTGACAAGTTAAGACTACATTATAACTGGTTGTATGAAAGGTTACAAGGTGTACGCAGCTGAAGATAAGCCATGAAAAAAAATGGACCCATTTCATTCTGCTCCATTGATTATTCTTCCTCATTTTAAATTTATAAAGGGGCATTTGTGTATGAAGCTTTTTGGGATATATCTCCCTGCTTAGTCATTCAAGTTGGCGAATCATTTGATGACCTATACTACTTAGTAATTAAGATTATTCAAGTTGAGTTTTTATCCATTTCTCTATATTCCTCTTGTCAAAATCAATCATTGTTGGACTAAAATACTAGTGCTTGTTAAATAGTTACCATAAGATACTGTAACGCCAGTCTTAAATTCTATAGATGTTTTATCAAGTTTTGGTTTTTTTGTAGGGATTTTGTTTGAGTGGTTGCAGGATTTCACTATGAGCTGGAAAACCTGCCAGGGAGTACTAGACAGCTGTTTCATCCTAGTTTGCGACTGTTCAGTTGTACGCACCCACCATCACTGTTCGAACACAGGCGGGCAAGCTAACAGAGCATTCAGCCACTGGGACCCGGCCCAATGACCAATCCATGAATTCTAACTTTTGCTAATTCATGGTATAGCGCGACCACTTCTCAATGTCTTCTTCTTCGATGATTTACTGCCTCACCTTCAACCTGCTGCATCCTAGTGGTCACGGCTTCCCATTAGAACCTCAGGTAACTGCCTGAATAAGGCCAGTCGCTAGTGAGCATCAGATCGATTTTTAAGTATTGGTTATTTATAGAGATTGTGTTTGATTGGTTGAAGGATTTCATCTACGAGCTCAACTTGCAACCAGAAGGTTTTGGATGTGTACTACTGAAGAGTCCCAAACTAATACTAAACAGCTGTCCAGTACTCCCAGATATTGTTTTAATAAATTTAACAGGGAGCATGTGTATGACCTAAAAGATAGGTGGATTTGATGTGATGATAATATTTCTCCCAGAACAT